TTTCCGTGTAAAACTTAACTTCTCTCTTTGACATTACACTGATCCCCAGCAATTCTTCTTTATATGGCATCCATGTTTGAAAATTAGGGGGTAAAAATGATATATTGTATAGCAGACTTTGAATCTGTTTTAATAGTAATGTCATTTCCTAGTTTCTAGTTTTAGTTGTTTTGAATATGTGGGTCAAACATATATAAAATGTATCAATAATTGTGTTGTCAAGTTATTCTATTGCTGGAGATGTCAGTAAAGTTTGTGTGTAAAGAATTTCTGGTTTTACTTCTTGTAAAACTTTTCTTCAACAAGTCTTAATTTCAACAAATAAATACAAAATACACAAAAATGAATGTAAAAATCTGAAACTATTCGTATACAACCACAAGGACAAGACGTTAAGCATGGTTTAAATCATTTTCCTTTCACAAACAAAAATCATCAACCAGTTAGCAAGAAGTCACCAGTGCAGTCACCTAGAGCTGTGGAATCAAAATCACTATTTCAGTGGCTGCAAATAGCAAAATCGCTACCAACTGAGTTACAGGCAACACATCAGTAGGGTAAAACTAACCTGTCTCACGACGGACGGTCTAAACCCAGTTCACGTTCCCTATTAGTGTGAACAGTCCAACGCTTGATGATTTTGAAGCAGAATTCACCAAGCGTTGAATTCCTAAAATCTAGTTACATAAAACAACAATCTGAATATCTCTAAATCAGATTTACAAATGAAAAGATCACTGCAAATGTCAATAGGCTCCTTAGAGCTTAGAGAACAAAGGTATTATTTCTCTTCATGTGAGTGCATATTGATTGTTCTATCTGTAAATGAAAAAGGAAAGTCCAGTCTTATCCAACTTAGTTTTATCACAGTGGGAATACCCTGTGCATGTCATAACAGGGAAAATATCGTCAGAGAAAATTTCCCAAACCTTTTTGGGCTATCTTACACAAACTACCAGCATTTGGAGTCCAAGGAAAAATGCTTGCCTGGATACGCGACTATCTAAGTATTCGCCAGCAACAAACAAGAGTTGGGTCTTTATTTTCCTCACCTCTTCAAGTGCAGTCTGGAGTACCCCAGGGCAGTGTTATTGCTCCAACACTGTTCATTATCTTAAACGATCTATTAAATGCATTGGAAGAGCTTTCTGGGCTGTTACCAGACAGTATAAGAGTTACACCAGCTGCATATGCGGACGACACTTTACTAACTGTCACTAGTGCACATCCAGCCCTCGCGGCTGCAGGTTTGAACTGTGCATTGGCTGCTGCAAGCAGTTGGGCCAACACATGGGGTATGAAATTCAACCCTTCAAAAACTGTATGCTTGTGCTTTGCTAAAGCGCCAGTTAATAAACAAATAGATGGTCAAGTCATGTTTGAGGGCCACAACATCTCCTTCTCAAGTGAGACAAAGCACTTGGGGATAACAATCAGCAGTGATTTGAAATTGAAGCGATATGTTGAGGACTTGTGTAAAGGGGCTAGAAAGGAAATGTTTGTGTTGAGGCTCTTAAAATCAAAGCTACCACCACAAAGTAAAGAAATCCTGCTTCGGATCTATAAAGCATACATTAGATCCCGACTAGAGTCCTGCTCAGTGCTGATCTGTGGCATAGGAAAGACTCTGATAAACTGTTTAGAGAGCATCCAACGAAGATGCATGCGCATTATTCTAAATCTGCCATATCGTGCCCAGTTGACAGCAGAGCATTACAGAGCGCTCGGACTAACAACCTTGCAAACAAGGCGGAACTTTGCTCTTGCATGTTTTGGTTTTAAACTGTTCCATGGACTCTCACCTGCGGCGCTGGGACCATACCGACCCACACAAAGGGTCCTGCCATACCATGTGCGCTGGGTCAGCTGTGCTTTTCCGGACGGGACACTGCCCAGCGCCCATATCATGCAGAGATCGTGTCTCACTCTGGCCACCAGGATGTGGAACATGCTGGACTCTGACTGTGTCTCTAGTGAAACTTTGGGTGAATTCAAGGAGCACCTCAGGGTGAGGCTCAGGGATGAACTGTTTGAAAACTTTCCTCATAATTAGACTCTGGGGTGGGAGGGGGCATTTAATTCCAACGGTCATGTGACCATGGTAATGTAACGGGTTTCTTTTCAATTCAATCTTTGTAAGGTTTTAATGTTTTGTAAATGTATTAAAGATTATAAAAAAAATAAAATAAAAAAAAAACCTTTTCACTTTCAGTTTTCCCTCAAATTTTACTCTTCAGACTGCACTTGAATGAAAATATGAAGTTTATTCCAGTCACAGAGAAGTAAATGTACAGAAGAAAGTTATTTTAACATTATCTAACGTCTAACAAAAAACGCAATTAGCCACTTCATCATCACTGTATGTGTCTTTAACATGAGCGGTCACCAGTGATTGGGGGTGACGGACTCTTCTCTTTCAACTCTAAATTAGCGGTTTGGGTTAGCGGTGCAGACGTGTGGATCAAAAAGGTCAGACATGCCCACTTAATCCTGGTAAATCTCCCCCCCTCTACATACCGTCAGGCTGTCGGCTTCTGTGTGACAGCAACCATCACAGCCACATGCCTTTGCACGGTGCACCGCTGGCCCCTCCCTCTCCCTGCACCAGCTGCTCAGGCCTGGACCACAGACTAAATACATGTGTTCGCTTTGCAATTGGAATGATGGCAATTAGATAAAAGACAATGATTTAAACTGTTTGTTGTTTTGTAAATAACAACATATGCAAGGTCTTATTTGTTGAAATATATGTTAGTCTGATGATGTGACAACCACAAGGGGGGAAATCTGGGGTAGAAAAAAGATACTATTTGTTTTTCCTCCATACTGACTGATCTCAAATAAAGTATGTTTAATATGCACTCTTAGAGGTCCAATAAAATAATTACAATCAGACAACAATCTTTTGTTGCCAGAATCTTCTTGCCTGTTATACATATCTTTGCTTCTTTTCAATGTACAGTGTTCATGATTTTAATGCCTTGTGTGAACTAAACTTGCCTTGCCTTACACGTGTAGAATTACTGATGCAAACCACCTTATGGAGTTTAGAAAAAGTTTATAAACTCTTATGATTAGTTGCCTGGATTCATTTAAAACAACTGTGTGGTGCTATTTTTTAGTTTGTGAATGTTGTTATATAATATCCAAATCCAGTTCAATTCCACCTAACAAACTGGCAACTCAAATGAGCCTCATTCTGCTCTCTGATTGGTTAAGCTTCTTTCAACTGAATATAACTAAAAGTACAATGGACATGATGTCGAGAAAATTTTAAAATAATTTCAATTTAAAAAGGCCAAATGGTGTGTACGTGATGACCTATTATCAGCACACATATAAAAGATATAGATATACCAAAAAATATTACATACAGAGCCTTAAAATTAAAAACCAAAACAAAATATAACTAGTAAGAATATTTGTATAGGCATCTTTCTGGCTCAGTTCTTTCACCCTGACCTTACAAGTAGCTTCCCAAAAGATTTCAAAATGACAAATAACCTGCTGAAGATATTAAATATAATTATGTGGCAGTTGTGATGTGTAGCAAGTTAATATTATTTTATTAAACGCCTCCTCGGAGTGACAATAATAATTCAGGTGTCGATAATCACGGTTCATCAAACTAGAGATTGTAATCTTTCCCTTTCTGGCACAGCCCAAATGACGGTTACAGTTTTCAGAATATGTTCTCATAGTAAAGCACAGAATGGTCTCAAGTTTCAGAAAAAGCATTAAAGTGACACATAAGCGAGCCTGGTATTCTACTTTTAGAAAAATGCTATAACAGGAGCCGATGAAGTGTCTGGTCTGGACAAAGCTGTGGGTTCTGTGGACGGAGATATGCGCAGCTGTCTTGACCTCTGCGACACTCAGGGTAAAGACATATGTGCTACATGTGATCGCAGTGTCAGATAAACTACAGTAGTTCTTCCACCGACAAGAAACTGACAGTAATTATCAGCAGGCCAATGAACTTCTGACTCTTTTTGACCCGGTGAAGAGGATCCAGAGTGTCATCCACTGCTTTACATTTACATACATTTATTTGCATTTAACTGGCCAATGTTTACTGGTATCCCTTGTGATGCATATGATGGTAATTTGTAAGGCATGGGAGTGACGTGGCTCATGATTGTGATTCATTGTCTAATAAAAAAGAAACCAGCCAATCAAGGTCGATAAAGAAAATACTAACTGGCAGGCTCTAACAAACTTCAGCTCAGTAGAATGAATGATACAGAACAAAATGACAAAACTAGTTAGACAAATAAGCATTGATGTGTGGAATCCATTTAACATATCAGATTAAAGTAGGTCATTTAAAATTAAAATTAAAAAGGACAAAGCAGTCAATTTCTTACTTGAAACTATAATAAATGTGTCTAGACATAAAGTTCTGGTCTCATTTAAACTAGTTATGTCCCAATTTCAACTGTACTTTTCCAAGTGCTGGATAGGCCTGCTTAATATGCAATCAAAGTCAATAATCTACAATGTTTAAGTAGGACTTTAAGACTGTTTATGGTGAGTGAATCAACCTCAGCTCTTGCACAACACCTTGGACTGTTCCAGGGTCAGGATGGCTTAAAGGTGGGGTACCTAATATGAGATTTCATAACACTAACCTTCAAATTCAAACCATAAAAAAATGAAAATATGTAATAAAATCCATTATAGTTTTCGCTTTTGTTTTTGATCTCTGTCACATGTTATTATAAGACTGAAAAGTGAGAAAAGAGGGGACAACTCTCACTCAGCCAATCAGCTCTCAGCCCAAAGAGTTAAACAGTGAAAAGAGAATGTATTCTGATTTGGTTTGACTTGTTCTCAATAGATCCTCTTTCACAATATTATTTATTTAGGGAGGATTATCCGCGTGTAGAAATAAAGTTAGGCACCCCAACTTTAATTAACTTTCTCTGCAATATATTGGCGTGTGGGGATGTACTTTTCCCTGTGCAAAACTTTCACCTCAAACAACAACTCAATCTCACCTGCTTGAAATCGACCACAAACGTAACCAGCGTGCCGTCTCCCTGCTTGAACTCCAGCGATATGGAGTCTCTCTCGCTGTCCGCTTCCAGCACCTCCTCGGTGATCAGCCCGTCTTCCAGCCGGACCCGGACCCTGAGCTCCGAGCCTTGGACCACGACCACGACCACCAGCGCCGACCAGAGCGTCAGGAGTAGGGGCAGCACTACCAGACGCGACACGTTCCCCACCGCGACTCCTCCAAACATCCCCAAAGATTCAACCACGGACCCAACAGCGGAAAAACACAAATCCACACATAAGACGCGCTCATATCCTTTAACTGCCCTCCGAGGTGGACCGTAAAGTCTCTTCTTTCATTGCTCATTCCAAATCTGCGTCTCTCGACTCCTCCAGAGAGACCGCGGACCACAGGCGCTTCTCTCTCTCTCCGTGCGCGCTCTGCCTGCTGTGGCGAGCACGCACACTCATTCTACTTTTCTGTCTTTAACTTTGCCCCTTCTTTCGGTTCGTGTTGTCCCGTCACTTCCGATCCCGTTGGTGTCCCACACAGCTCGCCTGGCCTCCAAACTTTTCTCTGTGCTGTGTGTGGAGTGAAGAGAGCGCTGATTGTAGTAAACTCTTAAAGCAACAGCGGCCTCTAGAACTGCACCCATCCCCCCATAGGCCTCATGTGATCCACCCCCTAGACTTTGCCGGCTCCCAGGAACCTGGTAATAAGTCAACAATTGGAGCCAATGTGTTGTTATTTAGGCTTTGTGAATAACCACTCACGCTGACGTTGGACTAACTATAAATGCATTGCGTCCTTTATTCTTTATTGCGGCACGGTGGCTGAGTGGATAGCACTCTCGCCTCTCAGCAAGAAGGTCCTGGGTTCGAATCCCGGTCGGACCAGGGCCTTTCTGAGTGGAGTTTGCATGTTCTCCCCGTGTCTGCGTAGGTTTCCTCCAGGTACTCCGGTTTCCCCTACAACTAAAAATATGTCCAATAGTTCTGTACTGGCGACCCCGCTCCCATCTCTCTGTGGAGTGAGAGACAAATGCCCAAAAAATTAACAATTGTAAACCGCTTTGAGACTCAGATCTGCAGTGAAAAGGCGGTATATAAATAAAGACTACTACTACTTTATTACAGAGCAGGAAGTGGGCCAGTTTTCCTGTATGTGGCCTAATGATTTCAAAATACTGTTTACAAGGGATGTTACATCATCAAACTGTCAATTAATAATATATTTTATTATCAATGCCAGAAACACACGATACAGTTTCAAATGACACCTGAAAGCTGGAAAACCTATAACTTTTTGTTTCATAAATACCTTTTGTTTGTCTCAGCAGAGTCTTGTTATTTTGTGATCATGTCAGTTGTGAACATACTGTCTTTATCTTACTAAAACATGCTGTCTTTATCTTACTAGAACATACTGTCTTTATCTTATTAAAACATGCTGTCTTTATCTTACTAGAACATACTGTCTTTATCTTATTAAAACATGCTGTCTTTATCTTACTAGAACATACTGTCTTTATCTTATTAAAACATGCTGTCTTTATCTTACTAGAACATACTGAGAGCTGATTGGCTGAGTGAGGGCTGGTACTCCCTTCTTCACTAAAAAGCTGATGTGTGCAATCTGAGTACTGTTATTTCCTTGCTTTTATTCTTCTGTAATGCGCGCAACGTCCATCCATCCATCCATTTTCTTCCCCTCAATCCATTTCTGGGTCGGGGGGGTGGCAGTCAGAGCTGCACCCAGTACACTCAGCACCAGCCCCTCACTAATCCTCCTGCAGGTGGTGAGTCCACAGGAGCTGAGATCTTTCAGTGGGGGTTTCAGGCAAAGTGGGGTTAAGTGTCTTGCCCAAGGACACAACGACAGCAGTCATCAGCGCAACATTGACATCGAAAATGTCCCCACTGTCGAACAAAAAATGATCTCATCTTATCTAAAATAACAAAGGACAAACATGCATGTGTATGTTTGGAGAAGTTAGTTATGGGGGTTTTCACATTATTATTTTCATTCAATTAATCATTTGCATCCCATTTATGAATCCATTTCTGGGTGGGGGGGTTCTTCATGGCACCTGCCCCTCTCTGATAGGTCCACAGGAGGATGGCTTAGCTGCTCCTCCTCTTGGTTTTTCAGCAGGGACAGCAGGCAGACTGGGGTTAAGAGTCTTCCCAAGGACACATTCACCAACTGAGCCCCTGTCGCCCTAGTTATATTTTGTAGTTTCAAAGATGCTTGAAACATTTCTAAACTATATTCTAACTTTGTGTACGCTCTCAGTCAGGGATTAGTCGCTTAATTGGGTGAGAAACCTTCCTATGCTATATTCTAACTTGTATTAGTTGCACTCCAAAAATGGCCCAGTTAAATATCATCTAGTTCAAATGAAAAGTTCCAATGGCATAATATGTTATCAACTAAATGCAGTTGACAGCTGAATTCGTCCTCATAATTTAGATTATTTATCTTTATTAGCTTATTTTTTTGAGCAACATTTGAGCATCGACGTAACAGACAAATGACGAGCACATGGTTCGAAAACTGATTGGATGAAGCAGACAGTTATTTCATTTATGTTTTGGTTTTTTTTCTGAAATTTGATGTGACACAGACCAAATGCCTGACAAGAGATAAAGGACTGTGGTCTAAGAAAAAGATAATGTATCTTGTGTGGACTTCACGTGTCACTATCCATTCACTCCATTCACTGTGGTGATAAACTACGACTCTAGCCACAGCTGCCCTGGGGCACACTGACAAATATAGCAACATGTTTGTTGTATAGAAGGTGTCCTGTCCTGGATCACCTATACATACAGTATATATATAGCTTTGTGTAAAAAATAAAATAAAATCTGAAGTCCACATTTTCCCACCAGGGAGCAGATTTATCAAGAACATTGTTGCCCAACCTCTTTCTCTGTAACTGCTTCTTATTTGTTTATTAGTTTGCAGATGAATCACTGCTGGATGGAATTCACCCTGAAGTAAAAGCAGCCGTAAATGAAAGGCTTTGAGAACAATATGGTTGAAGAAGTTCCAACAGAAACAGTCACACCTCTCTGCTGCTGTATGATTTCGTTTTTATAATGTCCTCAAGGGGAGAGATGACAGATTTGGCTTGAGCAGTGCTTTCTCTCTGAAGGAGAATGAAGCAAATAATTATTCAGGACATCTTTTCTCTCCTGAACCTGGTCGGTGTTTTGGGGGCGCTGATATTCTGGGTGGCCCCCTCAGGCTGGTGTGACCCTAAAGCTGTAGCTTGAATTGTGATGGGCCCAATGTGCTGAGCTCCACTGAAGGGGAAAACAAACAGGGAGATAAAAAGCAGTGCAAACAGTTAGCCAGAACAGAATCCAGGACCCAAGTATGTTAACAGGAGCTGAAGAGGGACTTTTGTAAAGAAATGTCAAGGTACATCTTAGTCATTAGAAATAGCTAAAGATAATGCTTAGAACAAGAACAGCAACGACTAATAATTTATGTAAAAAAACTGTAAACAGTATTCAATCTGTCTGAAATGTCAGAGTGAATGCATTAGTTGAGGTGTAATTAAATGCGTGTGTGTTTTGGGCATACATTTGCATCCGGATCATGTAATCTATACACAACCATGGGAAGCAAACGACTCGGAAGAAGAAATACTCATTTGAAAAAAGGGGTGGGATTAAATAAGTTTCTATTTTTTCCCTCTCCCTTTTTGTACATGTAATGAGACCATTTATTTTCACTATAACATTATTATTTTATTTCAATTGAACATTTTTATTTTATTATTTTGGTTCTTTTGTTATGTATTTACAATTGTCTTTGAGTATCTTGGTTAAAGTAGCATTATGTAAGAATGGCATGTCAATTCATCATTAAATGGCCCTAATATATATTAATAAAACGTGCTCTTTACGAATACTTCTTAAACTGATAACAGTAGTTCAGCCGAGATATTCGAATTTCAAAATTGCCCATTATCTTGTTATTGTTTTAATTTCAATTTCCCGCCCTTCACCGTTTTTATCAATCAGAAAGTCCGTGATCCCGGTTGCCAGAACTCACCGAGTCGAGCTAATCTCACTGGTAAAGTAAAATGTCAAAAAGGTGTTGGTTATAGATTTGTTGTTGACAAAACTCGTCTCTATTCAGTTATCATGGTCTCAGCTGGATTCGTCTGCATATCTGGCAACCTGAGTCAGGGAGAGTGGGAGAGGACTACAGAATGTTGACTGTGATTGCAGGACCACTTTTGGCCGGATTTTTACATACTGCTCCTTTTTTGTAATTCAGTATGTACGAAATGAAAATAAAGATGAAATGAAAAAATGAAAATAATGCTCATTCAATTCCACATTCTTTCCACTTTGCAAGTTTGTTATAAACTTTTTTACCCAAATAAAAGTTATAGTTTTTACAACCAGACAGATCCAAGTGCAGCCTTTACATGAAGAGCCATTTGCACGAGGACGTGCAGTAGCTCACTATACTTTTACGTAAGACCCATTGTTGAAATGCTGTGTCGACCTGGGATAACAGTTGGCGTGTTGTTTGGACCCGTGTCAGCCCTTCAACATGAGGAAGCCGATCTAAAGTCATTGCGCAATGCACCCAGAAACTATGAGGACAACTCTGTGAAGGAAAGAGCAGCATGTGCAAAACTTGTTTTTATGTCATTATGCAAATGTAGGCAACAGGCTCAAAAAACAAATTGGTTTTCTAAATTATTGCAATTTTTTCTGGGTTTAAATACCAAGTGGTTCTGATGCTCCAACTCTGTGGCTCAGTGTCGATTATTTTGGAAATGATTGTGTTTTGTGCAGTGGGAATGAAGCTACAGTGTAGTTTAAAAGTTGTACTATATTCTTTATAATTACATATTTGACATCAGTTATAGTGGATATTGGACTTAACACTTTTGACCTATCTTTGTGGATGGCAGTTATTTCATAAGACCTCAAATCAGCATCTTTGAAGTGCTTTAGTTAAGGATAACCACCAAATGGGTAGTGCTTCAAAACACTCCCTATTGTGGGTTTTTCTGTGAGACACAAGTGGTTAAATGTGTGTATATGAGAGGGTCAACTCAAACGGTTCTGCAGCAGGCCCTTCCGACTCCTCGTCTCATTGTTTCACTTTCTGCGGTGTGTGTGTGTGTGTGTGTGTGTGTGTGTGTGTGTGTGTGTGTGTGTGCACTTGTTTTCAACTCCTGGTGGGTTCCATAACCTGAGATTCCACTCACGT